ATTTGGTAAGTTTCAGTGTTGTAGTGTTAAAAAGTGTTTGATGTAGATTATTTTTTTTAACATGTGACAACTTTTTTAGGCATAAGTTGAAAAATTTAATGCCAATATCTGAGGACCATTTCACAACTGTGCCTATTGTTGCAACTATTAAAATGGTACGTTCAGTRTCCAGCGATGATGATGAATGGGATGAAAATGATTTGGAATATACTCAACGATATCCATGTCTTCGTCTGAAGAATTCATTCTCTATACCTGAAGCATGAGTTTCTTGCTTGTATAATGAAATAATTTAGTCTTCATTTTATTATATTTAAAATTAGATGTAAGTTTTTGTTAGCATCAATTGAATTGAGTAAAGAGGCAGCTCCCTATAACTAAACATAATATAATAAATTCTAATCCTTTTTATTTATTCTTTACCATAGTTTAAGATTTGTTGTCCTTTTAATTCTAATGATTTTATTTATTGGGATGTTGCATTATTTAATATCTAATATTTAAAATACATTATGAAAATTTAACATCAATATTTGTGTAACTAACAACTAGTTTTAGACAACTGACCAACTATTGTTTGTTATTTGACAAATATAGAAAGATTGTGGTAACTGAATCTATTTGTCATATTTTACTTGCACACGATTTTGTATATTCGTACTGCACAAAACATCATATAATATTCTTAAAGTCCTGAACTAAAATATTAATTGAAACATTTCAGTATTTTGTGTAAATCTATTTTTTTATAAATATGTTGCAGTTGAGTATTAATTATCATCATTGTTTAGTAATTTTTTTAAACATGATAAGTTTAAATTAGTTTAAAACAAGTTGTGTACACTTTATTTTTTGTTTAACTTAAAAATAAATTAAATTATTTGAAACTTAGGTATGTGGTTTAGTGAACTATTATAGCAGGAGTGACAAATCTATAGGTATGAGTGGCGCTAAATATTTTAAGTTGACTAAATTTCAATGACGCACAAAAATAATTTTATTTTATTGATTAATAATGCAGTGTACAGTGAAAGAAAAATATGTATAAAAAATAAAGTCATCAATTATGAAAGCTTGGAACTCACTGCTTCCATTCATAATATCTTATATTTAGACAAAAAACTRGCACTCATTCCACAATTAATTATTTTAAATCTAAACTAAGGAATAATACATTTGTCTCAGACATTATCGCTTGAAAGAATTAGTAGAGTTCATTGCTTGCTACACATTGTTCAACGAAGCTAATGCTACTTGTGAAATTAAAACCAAATGACTATAAATAAGTAATAAATACTCAACTGATATTAAAATAATTTCAGTGAGCTTTCTTAAGATTCCATCTCGCTGAGAAACATTGTTTATACTTTTATTGGTACATCTGAACATGTATTACTGGCATATACATTTTTTTACTACTGATTATAATTTTTGGTTAGTGACCAGAAAAAGGTTAGTCACCCATGTCCGGCTACCAAAAAAAACTAGCTATATAATTAAAAAAAAAAATCAGGAACTCGCTCTTATAGATGATTAATGTCTTGTATTATTAATTTCATTGATTACAGCTTACTAGGAACCTTGTGTATTABATTTTCAAGATTTTTTCGACCAGGCGAAAAATGATCGAAAATAGTTGATTAAAACTAATAAAAATCGAAAATTTCTGTTGCCCATAAAAATAGCTCGAAAGAGATAAAATATTTTGAAAATTTTCTCTTATAAATAGTAAAGAGACATAAACATAAACATTTTGTAAAAATAAAAAATGTATACGGTTATTCGGTTTTAAGTTAAAAAAAGCGGGTAAGTGGATGTCGCTCTGCTGTACATTAGGTGGTGGGGTGGACCTCTGAYTARGGTAGGTTAGATTTGAATGCAATGATAGGTATCATTGTATACGAAAAACGATTCTGAACGGAGATGATTTGTCAGTCTAGAATAAATTATATTTAAATATTG